GATCCCAGAGATCCCAGGGAAAGGGAATTTAGGGAAGCAGCAAAGAGTCAGCGATCCCAGGGATCCCAATGATCCCAGGAAAAGGAATTTAGGAAGCAGGGAGGTGTCAGGGATCCCAGAGATCCCAGGGAAAGGAATTTAGGGAAGCAGGGAGGTGTCAGGGAACCCAGAGATCCCAGGAAAGGAATTTAGGGAAGCAGGGAGGTGTCAGGGAACCCAGAGATCCCAGGAAAGGAATTTAGGGAAGCAGGGAGGTGTCAGAGATCCCAGAGATCCCAGGGAAGGGAATTCCGGGAACAGGGAGGTGTCAGGGATCCCAGGGATCCCAGGGAAGGGAATTTAGGGAAGCAGGGAGGTGTCAGGGATCCCAGAGATCTCAGGGAAGGGAATTTAGGGAAGCAGCAAAGAGTCAGAGATCCCAGGGATCCCAATGATCCCAGGAAAAGGAATTTAGGGAAGCAGGGAGGTGTCAGGGATCCCAGAGATCCCAGGGAAGGGAATTTAGGGAAGCAGCAAAGACTCAGTGATCCCAGGGATCCCAGAGATCCCAATGATCCCAGAGAAGGGAATTTAGGAAGCAGGGAGGTGTCAGGGATCCCAATGATCCCAGAGAAGGGAATTTAGGAAGCAGGGAGGTGTCAGGGATCCCAGAGATCCCAGGGAAGGGAATTCCGGGAAGCAGGGAGGTGTCGGTGATCCCAGAGATCCCAGGGAAGGGAATTCCGGGAAGCAGGGAGGTGTCAGGGATGCCAGAGATCCCAGGGAAGGGAATTCCGGGAAGCAGGGAGGTGGCAGAGATCCCAGAGATCCCAGGGAAGGGAATTCCGGGAAGCAGGGAGGTGTCAGGGATCCCAGAGATCCCAGGAAAAGGAATTTAGGGAAGCAGCAAAGACTCAGTGATCCCAGTGATTCCAGAGATCCCAATGATCCCAGAGAAAGGAATTTAGGGAAGCAGGGAGGTGTCAGGGACCCCAGAGATCCCAGGGATCCCAGGGAAGGGAATTTAGGGAAGCAGGGAGGTGTCAGAGATCCCAGAGATCCCGGGAAAAGAATTTAGGGAAGTGGGGAGGTGTCAGGGATCCCAGAGATCCCAGGGAAGGGAATTCCGGGAAGCAGCAAAGAGTCAGCGATCCCAGAGATCCCAGTGGATCCAGAGGAGGCCACGGAGATGCTCCAAGGCTCTGGAGCCAGGCTGGGAGAGCTGGGAATGGCCAGGCTGGAGAAGGGAAGGATCCCGGGAGAGCTTGGAGCACATTCCAGAGCCTGAAGGGGCTCCAGGAGAGCTGGAGAGGGACTGGGGATCAGGGCCTGGAATGACAGGCCCCAGGGAACGGATCCCAGTGGCAGAGGGCAGGGAGAGGTGGGACACTGGGAAGGAATCCCTGGCACCCTTTCCCACCCCCCG